GGGGACGGCGGCGGAGAGAAGGGGAAGGGGGTCCGTTCCCGGTGGGGTCGAAGCCATGAGCGACATTCGGCACTCGCTGCTGCGGCGGGACGCGCTGAGCGCCGCCAAGGAGGTGCTGTACCACCTGGACATCTACTTCAGCAGCCAGCTGCAGAGCGCTCCGCTGCCCCTCGTCGACAAGGGCCCCGCCGAGCTCCTGGAGGAGTTCCTCTTCCAGGTCCCCAAGGAGCGCGGCGCTCCGCCCAAGGTGGGCCCCGACCGTCGGCCGGTTGCGGGGCGAGGCCCTGAGAGTCCGAACAGGTTCCCCGGGGGCTGGTGGAGGCCGAGGCCCGGGGGGAAGCAGGGCAGGCCCTGGGGGCTGACGACGTGAGGCCGGGCGGCGCCCTGGGAGGCCGGACGCAGCCCCAGGGAGTGGCTATAGAGGCCGAGGCCCCAAGAGCTCAGGACGGGATCCCTGGGGGGCTGCTGCTGGAGGCTGAGGCCTCAGCAGGACAGGATGAGGTCCCTGGGGGGCTGCCGCTGTAGGCCGAGGCCCCAAGAGCTCAGGACAGGATCCCTGGGGGGCTGGTGACCGAGAGTTTTTTTGGTGGGGAGGGGGCTGGCTGGCAAGAACCCGATGGACTGGCCAGGACTCTGGGAGACCACACAGGGCCCCGGAGAGGTGTGGTGGGCTTCTGGGGCCTGCTCACAGCCTGACAGTGCTGCAGCTGGGCCCTTACGAGGGGCTGGGTGTGGGATGGAGCTGGGATGGGGCCCTCCCAGAGAGCAGCGAGCAGAAACCACAGCTGCTGGTGAATGTCAGGGTTCATGGGCCTGGGGCCCGGTGGGCTGCTGTGCCCAGCTGTGAACGCCCCAGCTGCCCAGCAGCACCCTCAGTGCTATTATTTGCAGAGGGAGGAAACACTTTTCACCCCAGTATTGCTATCTGTTTCATCTTTTAGTTCATGGGCGGCACTTGGAGGTGCAGCACGCACCAGTCTTGGTATCCAGGTATTCAAATACAACCTAGGGCTTGTCATTGTAACTAGGTAAATGCAGTGGTAGTTCAGGAAACTTGAATATGTGTGCTGTGCCTAAAGATTGAGTTCCTAACACCTGAGGGAAGCTCAGCCTTTACTGTTCCTGTCTTTTCACCAAAGCAGCTCTTGGTTCTTCAAGAGCCCCAGTGTATTTTGCAGCTTTGCTTTTGTTTTCTTTCAGAGATTGAATTCACTTCAGGAACTTCAGCTCCTTGAGATCATGTGCAATTATTTCCAAGAGCAAACCAAGGATTCAGTCCGGCAGATCATTTTCTCGTCTCTCTTCAGCCCTCAAGGAAACAAAGCAGATGACAGCAGGATGGCTTTACTAGGAAAACTGGTTTCTATGGCAGTGGCTGTGTGCAGGGTTCCTGTTCTGGAGTGTGCTGCCTTCTGGTTGCAGGTACAGCTTCTGTGCAGGCAGGGCAGTCTCGGGGAAGGAGTGAGGGAGTGTGCCACAATGGGTAGTGGCTGAACTGAGGCAGTGTCACCTAACGGTTGGTGACAGCCAGTTGCAGTCAGTGGCAAGTTTCAGCTGATACAACAGCTGGCTGCTGCAGCTGTGTTCACCCCATGTCTGTGCTCGTGTCCATTCCCTTGCTCCAGCATAAAGGTAGAGCTTTTGCCAATCCATTTATGTGGTGCACTGGCAGAAGAAAACCTGTTTGGGTTTTGGTTTGGTTTTGGTTTTTTTTTTACTGTGGGTGAAAGTTTTATTGATTTTTTTTTTTTTCTCTTTTTTTCACCCAACCAACCCCAGCATGTCAGAAGGGATCAGTGGAGGGTTTGACCAACGCAGGGAACAAAATCAGGGCAGTTCATGGTCACATTGCCCAAAGAAGCCGGCTCTGGAGTTTGGGAATTAAACTGTCCCTCATGTACAATTTTGCGCATGGCAGAAGCAGCAAACCTCTCTCTTGAGATTTGGGTGCAAAATAACTGTGTCTGGTATTCATATCCATGAATGCAGTATGTCAGGGATCTTCTATATCTCCTTCTTTCCTATTGAGATTCCCCACTGTAGACCTTGGGAAGTGCATCTTTGTTCCTGCTGCGTCTGCAGCATGTGCAGAAGTCATCTGCTTTACAGAATGGGAAGAGCAGAAAGCCTGTGCTGGGAGGAAAGGGTGGGAGAAGGCAGACCGATACTGTTTCTGTGGGGTCCCCCTTTTCCCATCTGGTGAGCCTTGGTAAAGGAGGAGGGGATGTAACCTAGATAGCAGAAGAAGGTGTAGTTTTTTGCAGATTGCAGCTCTTAAGCGACATGACAATTGCACAGAATTTTTTCCATGTTAAAAATGTCAAGTGTAACTGATTGGTTACTGAACCTGTTGTTCTGGTACTGAACTAGATGAACTACAGAACTATGTTGCTGAAGTAGTAAAAAAAAAATCTCCATCTAAGTCAAAATATTGATGTAAAAGGTTTTAATTTTAAACTACAGATATTGTAAATGTGAAATATCACCATCTATTTTAATATTGTGAAATAGTAATTTTATTTCTGTCTGAGTGGATCTTTGATATGCAGATTGAGAGAGAAAGCACACTTTAATTTTGGGAAAGTGGAAACACAAATGTTGAAACAGCAAAGTGGCATAGTGTTTAGGCAATGTAAACTTTAAAGTTGGCTCTGTAGAACTTCCTGTGACTGGGTTTAATCTGCTTTTC